AAATTTTAAACGGGAAATTTTTTTCTTACCTTCATAAGCACGGAAACGGAAACGAAGAAAGTCAGGTCCAATTGGTGACGTGTCTATTGCATACATTTTCAAGGTAATAGTGCAACTTTATAAAAAATATACATGGTAATGCCATATGATTCTTCTATATCTTTTGCGATTTTTGCCATTCTCTCATGTTGTGACATGACCTCATTAATATGCATAAACACAACTTTGAGCTTTCAATGTTGTGAATACACTAACATTTTTGATGAATATTGTTTTATTTTAATTTTGCATTTTGGATCTACTTGTTTTTTCCAGATGCACAATAAGCCAGGGAATATACTTGTAAACAAAGCCATATCGTTGGGCTTGAAGCCGTAAGTAAATTTTCTTTCATGGTAATTTTTCTTCTTCTTGAAGATAAAAAGTGATATACTGGTATTCCAATTTAAAATTTAAAGGGAAATGTTTTGTTTCAATAGAAATTTTGTCTATCAATCCTATAAATTAATTCTACTTGTACGTTGATTACTTCGGCAATACATTTCTTATTATACATGTACATTTAAATGTATCTCAGATTGAATCAAAATGTAACATTTACAACACTGTAAACAACTACCGTACCGGTACATGCTGTAATATGGTAAAGAAATGTAGGAATAAATTACTTTCAATGTTTTCATGTTTTCAGTGGTCCCTTATATGGAGAACTGAAGAGAGGAAAAACAGTATTGACACCCGACGGCAAAGAGGTGAACTCATCCTAAAATTTTAATTTTAATGCACAATCACATTTTCCTCTATTTAATTACATGTTGTATCATATTTGAATTCAGCATTTTATGATTGTATTTGCAGGTACATCCAGCAGATGTTTTAACACCTGTTGTTATTGGTCCTGTATTCATAGGTAGGTATAAAATCAATTCTTAGACTTCAGTGTACGTTTTTTGCTCATGCACAGTGGTGACATGTAAATATTGTGTTCATATTTCAGTTCTGGAATGTCCAACTGAGGATTATCTGGATAGTCTTGAGTCTAGTACTAAACTGAATGAATACCTAAAAGATGATGTAGAACAGCCAGTATCATTGGTAGTGCATCTAACACCTCCAGAAATACTCAGTACTAGTAGATACCAGGCATGGATGAAAAGGTATGACAGTCAATATTGTATATATATTAAGCCAGTTCAAGCTAATTTAAAGTTTACATATGTGCAATGCATTACGTCCAACATTGTAACCAAGTTACCACCCTCGAACAATTTTCCAAAATACATCTTTCATTTACCATGCCAGGCTTTGGGAAATATTACTTATTTTTGGACAAATAAAGTGAAATGTGTCATCATTGATTTCCACAAGTCAGAATACAGTCAAATGCAAGATTGTTATCATTATCTTTGGGATGTTTTAGATCCTATGCAAACTCTCAATGCAAATTTCCACCATGATGTTTTTCTACCAGATTTGACCTGAAATAACACCCTCTGTCCTAGTCTGTCATTACCCAATTAAAATGATGAAATACATTACCGCAATGTTAAAATACGATCTGTAATAAAAACGAAAAAAAAAAAAAATTTCCTAAAAACTGGTGATTCGTAATTTTGTAAAGCTAAAACTGAGTATAGAGGAAGTACTTAACACTTTCCATTGTCAACAACAGATCATGAGCATAGTTTACCCATTCACTATAGGCTAAATTGACCTTATTTGAAACTGTAAAACGGTTTTGCAACATGACTGTCACATTTTTGGCATTCATTGTGAGTAATAACAGAATAGAGTGTTAACCATGTTGCGTTGTTCACCATGAACTGTGAAATTTTTGTGAAACTGCTTTTGTCAGGGCCACCACACACTTCAAAAAGAAGAACTACCATACTAATCATGAATTGTATGCAATGAAACACACTTTTACATGCATATTTTAATAAACATTTATCCCATTGTTGATGCTTGGTAAAAACACCCTGGGCCTATAACCAGGGATGCCCTCAACTCATAAAATGTCTAAAAATATAGGGGTAGGCTTATACTCAAGGAGAAGCTTATGACTAAGGAAGTATGGTAATTGAAAACTGACTGACTAAATTATATTTCCATTTTTTGGGAATTTTTCATCCCATGTACAAAATTTTGAAATATAAAAAAAATAATAGACAATTTTTGTCATTTTCCTTGACATTACAGTCTTTTTTATTAGCTCCGCTGTCGACTTTGTCAAGCAGAGCTTATCATATGAGTGATTGTCTGTCTCCGTCGT